AAAAGAAAATGTGACATAGCATCAATAAAAAAGCAGATGAGAAAATAGGCAGAGCTGTAAGTGAAAACTGAAGCAGCCCACTTGCACCACTTTGGAAAGATTTTAGTATAAAGCAGTGGTCCCGAACCTTCTGGGCCATGGGGGCCGCATCAGAGTGCCCAATGCCTCTGGAGGGCCACATCTTAAATAAAAATAACAATTAAGTAACACAATTATTAACCTACTGATTTAGATCAAAAATAAACATTCAGAGGTCAATGTTAACTGGGACGCAATCCATTTTGGAACAATATTTTACTGTGGAATCCTTTTATCTAACTATGCATGCTTACCTAGTCATAGGATCATAGAATAGTGGAGTTGCAAGGGGCCATGAAGGCCACTGGGTCCAGCCCCCTGCTGGTGCAGGAGACCAGTTTATACTATCCCACTCAGATGGCTGGCCAGTTTCTTTCTGAATGTCTCTCATGTGGGAGAGCCCACCACCTCTCTAGGCAGCTGGTTCCAGTGTCATATTGCTCTGACAGTGAGGAAGATTTTCTTGATATCTAGTCTGAATCTGAGTTGTCGCAACTTGAATTGATCATTCCGTGTCCTACACTCTGGCATCAGCAAGAAGAGATCTTGACCTTCCTCTTTGTTAATAATTTAACATGTCCCCCCTCAGTCTTCTCTACTCAAGCCTGAACATGCCCAGGTCTCTCAGTTGCTCCTTGTAGGGCGGTGTTTCCAAACTCTGGATCATTTTTGTTGACCTCTTCTGGACTGTTTCTAATTTTTTAGCATCTTTCTTAAGTCTTGGTGCCCGGAATTGGACACAGTATTCCAGATGAGGTCTGACTAGTGAGGAGGATAGGGGAACAATTACTTGTGATTTGAAAGTAATACTTTCCTTTTGGTGCACTGCATTGTTCACTCATATTTAGCCTATTGCCCACAATTACTCCTATATCCTTTTCTTTTTCAGTTCTGCTGAGCCATGTATTCCCCATATTGTATCAATGCATTTGGTTTCTTTTTCCTAGCTGGAGATCTTGGCACTTGTCCTGATTGAATTCTGTGGCTTTCAGCCCAATGTTAAAGTTATCAAGATTGCCCTGGATTGTCATTCTGTCTTCAAGGGTGCTTGCTATTCCACCCAGTTTTGTTTGTCTGCAAATCTGATTATCTTTCCTTGTATTTCCTCATCCAAATAATTAATAAAGATGTTGAAGAGCACTGGACCCAGGACTGAACCCTGTGGCACCCCACTAGTTATTTCCATCCAATTTGAGAATGTGCCGTTGATGAGCACTCTTTGTGGCCAATTCAGCATCCAATTTTGGATCCACCTAATAGTTTTTCCATCTAGTTCAGTTTTTGCTAATTTGCTTATCAGAATGACATGCAGTACCATATTGAAAGCTTTGCTAAAGTCTAGGTAGATTATGTTCACAGTATTCCCTCTGTTCATTTGGGAAGTTACCCAGTCAAAAAAATGAGACTAAATTAGTCTGACTGGATTTATTTTTGATAAATCCATGTTGGCTTCTATTAACTAATGCATTTTTCAAGATGCTTACAGATGGATTTTTAAATAATTTTCTCCAGATTTTTTCCAGGGATTGATGTCAGACTAATTGGTCTATAGTTCCCAGGTTCATCTCCCCCCGCCCCCCGCCTCACCTTTTGAAGATAGGGACAATGTTAGCCCTTCTCCAGTCATCTGGCACTTCACCTGTTTCCCAAGATTTATCAAAGATAATAGCCCATGGTTCTGAGAGTTCCTCCGCTCGCTCTTTTATGACTCTGGAATGGAGTTCATCGGGCCCTGGAGAACTGAACGTGTTTATTCCATCTAGGTGTTCCTTGACCGTTTGTCTGTCAATCTTGGGCTGCATCTCTCACTTCCAGCTTGTGCTTCCTCTTGGTTGTAGATGTTCTTGTGGAAGAAGACTGAGGCAAAGCATGAACTGAGCACCTCTGCCTTTTCCTTGCTGCCTGTTAGCACTCTACCATCCACTTTAAGTAGCTGGACACCTTTCTTTTTCACATGTCTTTTGTTTATTTGAAGAAGGCTTTCTTGTTGTTCTTAGCATCCCTTGCTATTCTCAGTTCATTTCCTGCTTTAGCCTTCCAGATGCTGTCACTGCAATTCCTTGCTATTTGTTTATATTCTTCCCTTGTGGTCTGGCCCTGCTTCCACTTTCTTCACATGTTCTTTTTTTTCCCTTTCAGGCTGTCACTTAACTTTTTGTGGAGCCATGTGGGCTTTCTCTGCTGTCTTTTACACTTTTTTCTTGATGTAATTGTTCAAAATTGTACTTGGAGAATCTTATTTTTCAAGATTTCCTACACCTCTTGGACTCTTTTTCCCTTAAGGGTGTGTTGCCATGGCACTTCACTTACCATTTTTCTGAGTCCGTTAAAGTTGGCTTTCTTGAAGTCCAGGATGTGTGTTTGGCTCCAGTTACTCTTTGTCTCCTTTATAATTGAGAATTCAAACATCACATGGTCACTTTCCCCCAGAGCTCCCATGGTTGTTATTTTGTCCACCCGGCCATCCCTGTTAGTTAGTATTAAATGAAGGATGTATTCTTGTACCTACCTCTACTCTCTGCTGGAGAAAGTTGTTGGCAATGCATATCAGGAGTCTCTTGGAGGGGCCATGCTTGGCAGAACTTGTCTCCCAGCATATATCAGGGAAACTGAAGTCCCCCAGGATGACTACATCTTGGAAATGCTGGCAAGTTGCTTTTTTGAAGGTTGCATCCTTGTCCTCTTTTTGACTGGGTGCTTGGTAACAGATGCCAGTAACTATGTTTTTCTTATTTTTGTTCCCTTACACTAAGCCAGATACTTTAAATGGGGCTATTAAGTTGCTCTTCTTGTATTTCTGTGCAGATATATGTGTCTCTTACTTATAGTGCAACTCCACCTCCTTTTTTTGTCCTTTCCATTTTTCTTAAGGGGATGCAGGTGGTGCAGTGGTTTAAATTGCTGTGCTGCTGGGCTGGTTGATTGAAAGGTCGCCAGTTCGAATCTGCCCAACGGGGTGAGTTCCCATTGATCCGTCCCAGCTCCTGCCAACCTTGCAGTTCGAAAGCTTGCAAATGCAAGTAGATAAAAAGGTACCACTTTGGTGGGCAGGTAACAGCATTCCGTGCACTTCGGTGTTCAGTCATGCCGGCCACATGACCACGGAGACTGTCTGCGGACAAACGCTGGCTCCCTCGGCTAGGAAACTGAGATGAGCACTGCCCCCTAGAGTCAGGCATGACTGGACTTAACGTCAAGGGGAAACCTTTACCTTTACCTTATTTTTCTTAAACAGGTTGTATTTATCAGTTGTAGCGTTCCAGTCATGAGACCCATCCCACCAAGTTTCAGTTATTTCTATATGATTGTAATTGCCTTCGTGTACTATGAGCTCAAGTTCGTGTTGCTTGTTTCCCATACTCTGGGCATTGGTGTAGAGACATCAAAGTTCATCCTCGCTGTGCCACGGTTTTCTTCCTATTTATTTAGGAGACTGGTGTTGGGCCGGTCATGCTGCACATCTCCCTCCCCTATGTTTTAATCTAAAACCCTCCTGATGAACTTTTTCATGTAGCCAAACACCTGCTTCCCGTTCTTTGTGAGGTGCAGCCCATCATTTGCCAGTGGTCCATCTTCCAGGAACCTTAGCCTGTGGTCCCAGAATCCAAATCTCTCTTTACGGCACCACCATCGTAGCCAGTCGTTCACTTGAAGGGTTTTTCTTTCCTTAACAGTTCCCCTTCCACATACTGGTAGGATTGAGGAGAAGACCATCTGGGCCCCAGTGTTTTTTATTTTCTTCCCTAGAACTTCAAAGCCTGGTGTTATTTCAGTGAAGTTTCTCATGGCAATGTTGTTAGTTCTCCATGGAAGAGGACGAAGGGGTATTTGTCAGTGGGTTGTATGGGTTGCGTGAACTTGTTGGTTATATCTTTAATCTTGGCACCAGGGAGAAAGCATACTTGGTGATTCACTGGGTCATCACGACATACATACATATTTTTCCATCTTGTACAACAGGGAATCTCCCACAACTATCACTCTTCTCCCTTTGGTATCCCTTTCCTTTCTTGATTGGCCTTCCAATGCTTCCACTGCTGCAGGCTGTTTTCTAGGTCTTCTGCATCTGTCACCCTGTTCCAGGGAGTATCCTCATTTTCCCTTCCCTCAGGGTCCTCTTC